ATGCTAAACATATAAAGTTATGCTTCGTAACTCTGAGGTATGCTATTCAGAAAGCTTAAAATTTTTTGTTCGCAAATATGTAAATTACATTCAAGAATAATAATTGGTGTTGTTTCCTTATTACCTTTTCAAACATTTATATTTTGGTCAATTTTACTGCCTTTATAATAGAAGAACAGTGCTTTTCTTCTAGAGCCAACTTCAGTAGAAGATTAAATTATATCTAACTTTAAGTTTTCCTTTCAAGAACATCATCTTTTTAATACTCAATGAATGTTATTCATTTTGATATCTCCCGTTGTTCTTAAAATCTCTTTTGCTCAAGTTCATTCAATGATATTAAAATCCAAATATTTTCCGATGGATTTTATGAAAAGCACGGTACCATATCGCATGTTACCCGATGTTTCTTATCCATTAGTTACAGTCAAATTATCAGACTGAAGATTTTGAAGTAGAATGCAGAATATCAGTATGCGTTTGGTAACAAGCACTAACAGTCGGAAATTAGCGTTGTTACCTAAAGATTAGTTCTAATCCGTTCAGTACTAAATATACAAAAGTTAAATTTATTGATTTATATCATGATTACCGCCCAACCGGGTAGGGATTAGTGATTCTGGTTTCCATACCGATGGGCCCGGGTTCGGAAACAGTATAAGGCATCGATCTTTGTTAATGAATAATGTCTATGCGGCATGGGGCAATCTAAACAGGCGGCGAGCCGAAATCCTCTCGAGAAGTTGTGGTAGGGATAGATTGGTTGAAGACCTTCGGATACGTCCCCCCTCCCACTGGGGGTACAGTTCCTCGGAATTGGGGCGGAGCTGAACTAAAGTCGGGCTGTCAGTTGTATGGTGCTCAAGGCTCATTTGACTCCTTGCCACGATGAATGTCATGGATTTATGCTGACCATAGTCAGGGAAGTAAGATTGATAACAGCGGCAACATATCGTTATTATTGATCAAGTACACATTATGCAGGTGGGTGCATCACTACACCGACTCAGGAATTGTAATTCAATACTTTCAATGGTACTAATAGTGAAATGCTTCAGTTACAGATTATTTGAAATTAATATAATAGCATTTACAATAGTAATTTACAATTTAATATGTAGTTTGTACTTACCTGTCAACACCAACAGTCTACAAAGAACGTCCTTTATAATTTCCATTACGGCTGTTTGTTATTATTACCTTCGTGCGCCTGTTTGCAATTATGACTACTAAAGATAGGAAAACAATTCCAATATTTCTTTCAAGTTGCAAAACTTAACAATCTCACTATCTAAGAACTTAAAGGTATAAAGTGGGTTTGTCCCAATGCGACCAAATACAGATGGTGCTGCATAAACTATACGAACTCTATCCGATAGCTAGTAATTGTAATGAAAATGTCTTTGATTGAATTAATGAAAAGCTTGTTCTTCCATTATGCCAATATGCACGTTTAAATAAACAGGACAGGAGGAATGAGTGTCAACAGTAACTTTTATGTGACAACACTGCGGTTGACAGAACACATGTGCAGAAATTTACACAATGCTCGTAAACTTGTTGGGCATTGTTCGTATAAATGCTGCTTTTCTCATTATGAGGAAATTTGACATTCAGCAGATGTATCGACTGCACCAAAAAAAAAGGGTCATGTACAAATAAAATGATTTTTTACCGCAGACGAAGACGCAATACAGAAAAGAAATGACAATTTAATTTTTCAGCATTAGGTTATTTATTGCTGCATACGCATTGTCCATTCAATAAAAGACTGATTCTGAATGGCATCTTTCATCCGTCCATATGTTTCGAGCTAATGAAAGGTTGATGAACATATTGCAAATATAAATGGTTTCAGGCCGAAGGAACATATTGAAGATAAAAAACGATATTCAACTGACTGCTCTGACCTTTGAGGGCGAAAAGTTACTTGTCGCTAAATAAATAAATAAATGAGCACCTTAAGAAATTTAGAACGACTTTAACGCCTGTGTACTTCCAGTAGAAATAGTTCTATAGAAAGATAAAATTTTACGGATGACCATCCAAAATACAATAGCATGAAGAACAAGAAATGGGAGGAAAATACTTAAGTGGAGAACTTTTACCTTGATGACTGTAAGTGCACTTTATAAAATGGCTGAATAATTTAATGTCTAGGGAAATACATAAATTAGTCCAAATGACAATTTAATTTGAACATTTAATGATGATTATGAACGATTTTTGCAGATTGTGAGATTGGAACACAGTAACATAGATATTTAAGAAAATTATCACAAAAAAGAAAAATAAGAAAAATATCTTTCATCTTTATAACGTCGTTTACATCGGTGGCCTCTTATGTGCTTTTTACATATAATAAAGACTTGTATATGTAATAAAGACGAATGAAACAGTAGCGAATGAGTCGAAAGAAAAGTTATCGTTTTGGTGACAGTTTATAACACCTACAAGCTACCCATGACAGTGCGTCGAAAGAAATACATGTTTGTTTTCTTGATATATGATTGGTTGGACAAACAGCACGAACATTTTCATTTCAAAAATCCTGCGTACTTAGGCGGGACATCAGTTTTAACGATACATTTTTCGTCTAGGATACTTCCCACTGTATGAAAAGGAGAAACTCATTTCGTGGAAAGGTTTATTCTAGCCTCACATTGCGTTAGATGAACTAACGCCATTAGTATTTCACTATATTCTCTGGAATTTAAACCAGAAGATATTAGTGCTTCCAAGAATTTATCTAAAAATACTTCCTAATCTATTTTCGAAATGCGGTTTGCTGTGGTCATTGAACAAATGCAGTACTTGCAGAAAGTGACACTTAAAATAATTATTAAAGTAATTAATTAAGTATTATTCTTCTAGAAACATTCAAATTTTGTATCTCAGTAATCTTGTTTCAAGAGAGGAACTATTAATTGAAAATGAGTGTTGTATTTAATGATAAACTATATGTTTTTCTACCAACTAAGCTGGGCAAGCAATAAATCGGATACGATTATGAAAACTAATTTAGCTCTGTTACGGATCACTTTGTTAAAACGGGAAGACTATGAAGATAAATGAAGCTCCGGTGATTTATTTCCTGTGTAATATTAAAACACGGACCAGTTTCAATAACAAATCCTCCACAAAGGCATTCCTTTCTATAGTCTTAGTTTTCCCTTAATCAAATAATTCAAATCCACGTTCTGTATTTTTCGGCGAACATCGTAAACACACATATTTATTAAACAAATTTATGCGTATTTAGTTCAGTACGAAACAGCCCAAATTAGCTCCCGCAGTCACATTCCGCTTTAACTATTTTTTCATATTTATTGAAACATATTTTTTCATATTTACTGAAAATATGGATAGCATTTAACCCTTTGCGGCACAGTGCGCCCAGTCTGGACACACCTAAATATTTCCCTCTGCACGCGCAGAAAAACTGAATAAAAAACGATTTATAGGTTACTATAGGTTACTCTGAACCTTCTTTATTTATAGTAGACGGCAGCTTAACACAAACCAATCCATATATTTTAGCCATGTTTAGTTTTTTAAGACTGTCATTTTTCAAAGAAATCTTCCAGATATTTTTTAGGGTATAAAAGGAATTGTTTGAAAAGATATGTATATGTTACTTTTTTAGCTGTATGCTAATCTCCTTATTCTATATTAGTTTTAAATTTTTACTTTGAAATCTTGCCTAAAGTTAAACGGCGAACCCTAGGTGTGCTCAGATCGGGCTCACCGATCTTCTAGGACAACTGAGAGTCTGTATTCTTTGTTTCTCCGCATCTCATAGGTCAGTTAATTGACAACAATGCTCGTTTCAGCACTCGTTTCGAAGCTCTATTCAATCAGTGTGCCCGCTTTGGGCACACCACATACTTAAAATGATAAGTGCTATCTTCACAAAATTTTACTTGTGTACTCCTCTAAGCCTAATTAGACTGCCTACCTATTACTATTTTGAATATTACTTTAAAAATAAACCGAAGTGTAGTGGGACTATACCTACATTACTTATAGTAAACATTGGGTGTCCCACTACATTTCCACCTGAACCTGAACCTGAACCTGCCTACCTATTAGCAAAACTCAGACTTTAAAAGGTAGCGTGCCGGAAAGGGTTAACAAAGGATTAGTTTATAACTTATGCTGTTATTTCAGGCTGATGCAAACGCAGGATTAAAATCTCCCTAGGCTATGTAACCGAAATTATCAGGAGCAATAATTTTTATAATTATGTAAATTACACATCGCAATCACAGTCGCATGCTTGTTTGTTTATTGTCAATACAAGAAACATATAAGAGCTATTGCCATTAAGGAAGGGATGCCTTCGTGAAGCACTTCCTAAGAGAATGTAGTTTTTTTTTTTTTTTTTCATTGCACATTCGAATTTCAACGAGCCGCCTAGTTGCTTGGGAGATAAGTGATTTAGCCTAGGTGTACCGTGAATATGAGCCAGTTTCTGTTACGCATATTTTAAGAAAGCTCCCTATCTTTAGGGTGCTGGTCCTTGAGTACTTTGCCCTAAATAATTAAATAATCAAAAATTGTGTTCGTTTGATATTGCCTGTCAAATTTCTGGAATATATGATGACTGCATATTAAAAAATCACGGTTTTTATTACTTGTTTGTGAAAGATCTGATTATGAATTACGGTTATGAATTTCTGTTCTCCTTTCTTCAGGTCTATTTTCATTGTGTTTGATTTAAGTGTGATTTGCAGGATTATGAATATCTCTGTGGAAGAGTTCCTTCTTTTATGTTTATACGCTAACCAAAGGCATAACAAATAGACTTTATATCAGATGCGAAAATTTTCTTATGGTTAGAATAAAAATACTAAAAATCATCAGCAACAAGATTTTCTATCTTTTATTAAAATAAAATTTTGTAATATGTGCAGTATAGTTTTAAAAATTAATATTTAGTTACGTGCATGTAAATAATATGTATAGATAGATAATACAAGTTTCATCATAACGCCAAAATAAAATTACGAATAAAATATTTTCTAAAATTTAGTTTATTTATTATTGTAGCGTATTCAGTTGACTCTTCTACCAAACCTCGCACTTTTTTCTTGGATTCATCGTTGAATCTGCTCTGCAACCAAATTCTTTTGCAAATTCTGGTTGATTAGAAATTGCTCCGTTGACTCTATAAGAAAATAAGCATTTTAAATACCTTTGTGTAGAATATGATTTCAATCCTTTAACATGCTAGTAACAACACACTTATATTCAGGAACATTCAATATTATTCTAGAAATAATTTTACAATTTAAAATAAAAGCTTTCTTATTTCACTCACCTAAATTTTTGAGGGCTGTGTACCATTGACAAAATGAAATATTTCAGCATTTCTGGTCTTAAATTGTCACACCATGCCTGAAATGTGTTCAATAAAATAATAGATTTTTAATAGAACAATAAAATAATTTTTAAAATTTATACACGCTTCTGAGAATAAATTTGATTACATCATGAACTTTTAATTTTAAAAGGTATTTTCATGAGATTACACTTAAAAATAATAGAAACAAGAAAAATGCACATACACGATAACAATTTGGTAATAAATAGTTTTAAGTGACACAAAGACATGAAACATAAAATGGAAACCAGTAAAATCCCAAAATTTTCTAATAAAAAACATTAACTAATTATTTTTAAACCAAACGAATTTCTAAAAACTATAGAAAAATATACAAAAAAGACGAAGTCAATCAAACTCTGACTCAACGTTACCAAGAGGAAGTAGATTAAATTCAATATCCCCCTAGGAAAACCATTGCGTTTCTGTTAATCCAAAATTAGCCAATGAACCATCTATATAAAGACGAATGTCTGTCTGTGTGTTTGTTCGCGGTTCAATCAGTTATTACTTACTATAGCTATCGTCACCAAACTTCGAACTATTCTTCTCTGGGTTCTAAACATGGTCGAGGTCCACTTTTTTCAGAAAAAAAGGCTCAAATCAGAGATATTAATTCAAAACCCTGATTGTCGCTCTCATTTTCCCGAGTGGCGACAGTCTCGTAACTGTAGATAAAAGTTTGCTTTATTTCGAGAAATGTTGCCACTGCTCGCTTTCAAATCGTAGAGTTTGTTAAGAAAAAATTTTAAAGTTTTGCGATGAAATTAAAATAGCATTGCCGAAATATTAAATACATTATTCCTGATTCAGAAAATGTGCTATTTCAACTGCTCCCATCTTCTTACAAATTTCATCAGCCGAGATATTAATTAAAAACTCTAAAAATAATAATTTTCGCACTTAATTTTATGAGTGGCAAAAGTCTTGGAGGTAAAAAAAGCTTTATTTCGAAAAGCGTTACTGCTGCTCCCTTTCAAATCGTAGAGTATGTTAATCAAAAATTTACACTGCTCGACATTGAAAATGCAATACCAAGAAGGAGTGGTCAGAAATTTATGCAAATTTTAGAGTAGACTGAGTTATGCGAATGATGTGAAATGTGCAGCTCTCCGACGCACGTGAAGTAAGATATAAGCGAAGGAACGTGCAGAATGGGCAATATGTGTGTCGTTATTTCTGCCAGACGAATTATCGAAGAAAGTTGGTTTTTGTCCCGGAGGATACGTGTAAAAGGAGAGAATGCCAGGCCGCCGTCAACGAAGGCACTTCCAGGCCAGATAGACGATTTTACGAGGGGTATGGTGATCGGACTGAGAAGGACGGGTATGTCCTTACGTCAAATTGCAGCTGAAACCCACATGGATGCGAGCACGGTGCATCGGCTATGTCGAACATGGTTGAAACAAGGAAATGTGGGAAGAAGGAAAGGTGCAGGTACAGCCAGAGTGACGTCAGCACGCGTGGATCGACGCATCCGCCGACAAGCTGTGGCGGTTCCGCAAGTCATTTGTACCGCGAATTTGCAGCATGTGCAAGATATCCTGGATGTTCCCGTGTCGACCAGAACCATTTCCCGTCGATTGTTTGAACGTGGCCTGCACTCACGGCGCCCGTTAAGAAGACTACCATTGACCCCACAGCTTAAACTCCAACGTTTAGAATGGTGCCGGACTGGAGCGATGTAGATGACAGAATGGCGAAACGTCGTGTTCTCAGATGGGTCCGGCTTCTGTTTATCCAGTGACGGTCGCCGCATACGCGTGTAGCGTCTACGTGGAGACATATCTAATTCGGCAGTAACTGTGGAACGCTCCACCGCGCGACAACGTGGCATAATGGTTTGGGGCGCTATTGCCTACGATTCCAGGTCACCTCTAGTTCGTATTCAGGGCACTATGACGGCCCAATGATACTTGGATAATGTTCTGTGGCCGGTGGCAATACCCTACCTTCAGGGGCTGTCAAATGCATTTTTCAGCAGGATAGCGCCCGACCACACAGTGCTCGCATCTGCCACACAAGCTCAGCAAGGTATACAGATGCTTCTCTGGCCACCGTACTCTCCTGACCTGTCACCAATCGAACATGTGAGGCATGTGATTGGACGCCGTTTGCAGACTCTGCCCCTGCCTCGTTCAGAAGACGAACTGTGACAAAAGGTTGAAAGAGAGTGGAGAGCCATCCCTCAGTACACCATTCGCATTCTTATTAACTCTATGCCTAGACGTGTTCGTGCATCGCTGTCCGCGGTTGTCCCACATCCTACTGAGCCGACGCCGTTCTCGCTCTGTATCCTGACTATCATTTTGAAAAAAAGATCACTTATTGCTGCTTGCTGTCTCTGTCTTTCTTGCAAATTTCATCACTTTCTGATCACTCCTTTTTGGTGTTGCATTTTTAATGTCGAGCAGTGTATATGGTTTACAAAATCTATATATATATAAAGAAGAATGTGTGTTTGTTCGCGCTATTGATTTCTGATCAATTATGATCAATTTTTCCTACATTTAATCGATTAAAATTGAATATAGGTGATATATTGGAAGGAACTTGAGCTTTTACAACCATTTTTTATTAGAAAGGCGAAAATCATTAAAAACTGCGTGTCATTGTTGCTGATATAATGAGAGAGAATTTGTTTGTTTTTCTAAGGAAACTTTTTATGTGGGTTTCATATCGCTTCAGACTAAAAAATGTATGACTATGAATCGTATTTTTTGCATCGTAATTAGAGAAGGATTACAGCGGTATAACAGCGGTGTATTAAAGAAGGATTACAGCGCTATTACAGCGGTGTATTAGAGAAGGATTACAGTGGTATTGAGAGTAATGTATCTAATAACAGAAGCGTTCGCTCTGTTACTAAATACATTACTCTCAATCTAACATAACTGGCATTGGGTACTTCTGATAATCTTAAATAAGTTAATTATAATATTTGGCAACGTCCACAACAATTAGATGGCACTGCAAGATGTATGAAAGAACTTTTTTTTTTTTTTTTTTAACTGCTGATAAAAGACAGACGATGACGCGATTAAGATGAAAGAAGCTTCCATGACACGACGTTCTCAGATGCAAACTTATATACATGTGATAAATAATGTGAATCTAATTGCATCTACGAATGTAATAATTTCATAGTGTGTTGTAACTGTTTGTGTTTTCATTAAATATTTAAGTTATTTATAAATCGGAGTAGTTTATTGACATCCCTGAAGTAGTTTCACAGTGCCAGTTTGGTGTAAAACACTTGGGCTTAAATTCCACAAAATATAAATTCTAAAACTGATTGCCTACTTATTTGCTAAAGAATTCCAGTTTCCTCAAACAGAAGAATATTCCACTTTGAAGCAATTTACTTTTACCTACAGATGTATGACATTATTTCAATTAATAACTTTAAAGGAAATGAAATTTCACGAGTTTATTCTCTTTTGTTTAGACAATAAATAAATAAAACAAATTAAACAATTAAAATCAGGAAAGTATCTAGATTTAAGCATTTTCATTTAAAATAAAGTTTCGCTTTTCAATAAAAGAAGACTTCAATGAAAGAAGACATCAATAAAAGAAGACATCAATAGTTTGAACATCAATAAAGTAATTAAGTGGCAATCTAACATTTCCAAAAAATAATAGGAAATACTATTTTTAATCAGTTAATTAAAATTTAAAATATTTGTACAGAAATTTCTCATATCCAGCATCAAGTAATTCTTCTTACCTACCCGCTGCTGACCAGTAATATTACTAAAAATTTTATTAAATTATATCTCAGAAAACCTGGCATTAACTAAAACCTTTAAATTAAAAGTTATTAAAAGAAGCGCTTTTTCGAAACCGGAAGGAGGATGTGTAACTTTAAATTTATAGGTTTATATACGTGAAATGGCACTTTTATTATGACTAACAAGGCCCGTTTTAATTTCTGTTAGAAACTCCAGCCGCCAAACTGTGTGAAGAATTTTTTTTTTTTTTTTTTTTTTTTTTTTATTCTACTAGCGTTTTTCGTGTTCCATAATTATTTACGGCAGAGTTTGCTTCTTGTCGTTTTTATTTCGCCATTTTAAAAATTCGCACTTTACACGAGAACATTTTCTAGCCAATTTTCTCACCAGTTCGTATAGACTTCAGGATTCAAGTTACACAGGCAAATCTAAGACAAACAACGTGTATTTTTAATGAATTTGTTACCGCATTTTCTTTTGTTTCTCTGGGTAACCGATATGGCTTTTGCAAGTTCATAGTTTCATGCTTTCACGTTCACTTCATAATTTTTTTCGCCAAGAAATTCCTTTTTTTTCTATCATTATAATCATTTAACAAATAAGGATTCCTAAAACGTGTAGGGGTATAGTGAATCTTTGAAGGTGCCCTTAATTAAAACACAGTTGCTCATTTTCCCCGTTTTCTGCATCGATAAATCTAATGACTCTGCAGTGGCGCCCGAGCTAAAAGGTGGTGGACAATTATTCGTCACCATCAGGATTTGGCTATTAGGTCCCCTAATCCCCAGTCGCCCTTTTAAAGGGGGAGTATATAAGGTATTTTCTCCCTCCCTCCAGCATGCCTTGTGGTGTTACAGTACCACACTCGACGGTCCAGATATTATTCCAGAGGTCCAGGTTCGAGTCCTGGCAAAGGCTTTGCTCATTTCTCAGGTTTTTTGCATCGACAAAGGTCGTCTAAAAATGTGCAAACAAACTCTGTATAGAGCGTGCGAAGACGTAAAATGAGGTACACGTGTTAAAATATAAAAATGCAAGCATAAGTACTAAAATAGTGCTAAACCTATTTCTTGGTCATTAATTTATATTTCAATTCCAGTATTTGGACTGCTGCCAGATGTCCGCGAGTTTCGTTTCCGTTTGTAAGAAGCAATTGCTTATTTTATAATTGTTAATGAGTGTTTTTAATATTCATGATTTAGACAACTTTTAGTTCAAAACGTGTTGAGTATTCAATAACTTTCGGCTGTGGTAGGAAGTATTTAAGACTTACATTAGCT